CATTGGCAAATTGGCATAAGCTCATTAGGAAACGCTCTGGTAGTAATGACTTTTGATCGATCCGATTGAATGAAATAGATGTTCCATCAGATGAGACATAAGCATATCAGTGGTATAGATAGCACACAACAGACAGAGAGCCTTTACGGAAGTGTCCTCTCGACAACTTTGACGATACGATATGCGATGGAGTTCACGTTACTTAATGCGCAAAATATGTATCTGTACAGTTTTATCCAGTAGCTGTGATTGCGCTTAGCTTGCGAGGGTATCATACATCCGAGATAAACCATGTTGCACTCAATAGGAACACGTACTCAGATACAGGACATACGGAGAATTAATGGAGTCTTTTGATCTTTAACAATTCCATTGCGTGCGCAAGCTTCTTGCCTCATACTAAGTAGTTTTAGTATTGTAGAAAGCAATAAAACACTGATAAAAAATAGTTGAAATTAACCAAATCGTGATAACGATCTTGACAATGCTTACAATTTACGTCACAATTGGATCATTCTGTTAAAATGTGTAAAGTTTGTGTCTCAGTTGCTTAAAAAAGGTGCACAGAATCGTAGGTCAGATACCATCCCTAATAATTTGCTATTTCAAAGTTTATATCCCGAGTGCAGCGGCCTCAAAATGTGTTAACAATGCTCACGAATCAAGCTCTTGACAACGTCAACATCATCCAGTGCAATCTTAAAATTTTATGAATCTAAGGCTCTTTTGCATTCTCCCTCAGGTGTTCTATCCATCCTTCGGATAGTGTCACATAATCAAAGGAAGAACGAAACTTGCTGGACAGTTAAGAGGGTACCAATCCTTCAGTTGAATAACTCGCGGACAGTTCTATTGGTGAGCTACGTATTTGAACATAACACATTTTGGACTAGCTAGGGTGCACATTTCAGATCATACCGTTTGTCCATCTCAAGTACTGTGAATACTTCCTTCGAGTTGAATCCTTCAAACTTCAGTTCAAGATCCACCATACCTTCATCGCGGTGACCACTGCACCAGTGGCCAACTTCACTGAGTGAAAGTCATTACTTCTATCTAGTGCATCCTTAAGCGCCAAACCATTTTCAGCAACACTTTGCTTCAAAAAGATACGCGAGGAGCCAGAGTCAATCAAGACTCTAAACAGTTGACGGGAACCCTTCACACTCGCAGTGACCATGGGAAGGACAATTGCGACAACGAACGACAGCGACTCTTCAGGTGTCAAATCCTTGTGAGTGATTCTACCGCCACACTCACAAGAGTTTACATTTGCCTCAATAGACTGCTCTGTGTCTATTGGGTGACGGCGTTTCCCGACTGCCTCGTGATATTGGTACCAAATCACGACGACGAGGTCCAAATCGAGAGTTCCATCTCCCAATTGAACAAACGCTGCGGTTGTTGACATCCGTAACAGCGAATTTCCTGCGTACGAACACCCTTCGCCCTGAGATATATTGTTCTGAATTCCCCGTGGTAGCAATCATTGCATTCATCGGATTCGTCGATTGACCAAATGCATGACGCTGGCAGTTGTATCACGCAATGCGATCGTTATTGCATCTTCCGAAGTTGTCAAAGTCTGGCGGAAGACTTCAGTCTTCGGAGGACCATAAGTTAGTTTCTTTATGGATAGTGATCATCACTGCAGTGGTTAGCTTGCCATATTGGCACGAAGCTCACAAAATTCTGTATATAGTCGTACGATGTGATCTTGCCTTCACGACATGATAAAAGCTTTGACCGTTGTTGAATTGCCACATTCGACGGAAGATCTATCGATTCCATGGCTCTCTTTGACTCTTGTCATTGGCAAACTAGCCGGGGCGGTCGACTTCTCATGTTATCGTCCAATTAATCGCACGGCCATTCAAGTGTGAAGCCAGTTAAGTACAGTCATCACGAAGTTGGGCCAATGCGATAGCGATTTCCTTTTCTTGCCGCCTAAACGCAGATTTTTGTAATCTTCGTTTCCGTGAAATTTTTTATATTAATTTTTACGTGACCTTCCGTGTGTACCGACGGTGCTACCTTATCTTGTCGTGGAGGTGACGGAGCCGGCGTCGGTATGTTCCGCAATAGAAATCCCAAAAAGAATTTCTCATACCCAGCAAAAATTTGCTAAGCGTTCAGCTATTTGAGTTGCAACCACTGGTGACCAAAGCTGTACACATGGATGAGCACCTATGTGCGTACGTGTGAGACGTGACAAAGGAGGAAACCCTCTCCGAATGCGGAGGCGCCGCTGGCTATTTTACCGATACTTTTCGGGTGTTGGCAGTCCATAAGTATGTACTTTGTGTTTCGCCTGCCGAAGGACTTGGCGGGCAACACGGGTGTAATGGTCTTTGTGGACCGTTTGAGCAAGATAGCTCATCTTACGGCAGTGCCGGACACCATCAACGGTGTAGGTAGTCGATCGTGTCTTTCGACAGCATGGACTCCTGGAGTCAATAATCTCTGATTGAAACCCGCGCTTCATTCGGAAATTTTGGTCTACTATCTTCAGGGTGATGGGCACCAAGTTGACTATGTCAACAGCAAACCATCCGTAGACCGATGGTCAGACTGAGCGCGTGATTCGAGTCTTTGATGACGTTCATCGCAGCATCTGCGCTGAGGCGATGAAGCGCCAGAGCGCTAATTTGCTACTCGTAGAGTTTGCTCTGAACAATGCAGTACATGAATCTACCGGCTACATATCGTTCAACGTGAAAGGTCTTGTTAATCCCTGCGTCCCGCTCATACCGCCATCATGTGGATCAGATCTTAGTGGAAGGAAAGCCGGATGGCTAGCTGATGTCAGCCCCCCCCGTGCGTAAAGAAGTCGTAGACTTTTCTGATACATCACGTTCGAGATGCGATGGCTGAAAGCCAAGACATGCAGAAAAAATATGCAGATGAAAGAAATGTGGAAACCTTTGACGTCGGAGACCTGTATTGATTTAATGTTAAAAATCTTCCTACACATGCAGTATTTGCGGTGTTTTCGACAACGCTCCGTCTACGGTTTACTGAATCTTTTAAGGACGTGACCGAGTGATTTGCGCATACGCTGAACCTTCCGAAAAGAATGCGCACCAACCCGGTATTTATGTGGACTTGCTTAAGCCGTACCGGGATCCGGTACAAGTGAACGCGGTGGGTTGGCGCCGGAGCGCTACTCACAGGCGCTCGACCACCCAAAAGCTGGACCAGCAACTTGTTTGGAGCACGGGGTGCGACAATTTCCGTTTCCAACGGCGCAAGGCGCTCCATTGTCGCACGAAGTGACGAATTCGTCCGTTCGACGGAAGGAGCCGCTCCGACAGAGCAAAATAATTCTCAACGTGACGCAGTCAGTGCACAAAGTGCCCCAGGATCTCGAGGTATTCCGCATTGCGAGTCACAGGACGGCGATCGACCAAGTCGTCATCATTCGACGCCGACTCTTCTAGATAGGAATGGTGGCATCCACTACCACGAGGAGCGCCTTGTGGGTCGACGTCGACGACAAGGTCTAACCCAATATCTTGTGAAGTGGCAGGGATACTTAAACCCCAAGAGCTCGTGGGGAGTTTGAGGTGCCACTTCGGCAAGACTACCAAACGTCGTGGACGCTTATGATCAAAGGATCATATCGCTCTGCGTCATCGTACGCCCCACGCTCCTCAACAGTATCCCGGGAAGCCGGAATGACATGAGATGATCTCAAGCTATGGCCATGAGCTGCTGTGGCCAAAGACTCACCCGTGTGAGAAACTATAGAGCTCGCGGGAGCGTGATGAACAATTTCATGTTTCGCGGGCGTCAATACGCAGGAAGACGGCTTTCGTATTGAGTTTGGCAAACTCAAAATCGGATGGCACTCAAAGCGCTTATTCACTTCCTTGTGGCTTTGCTGTAAGGTAGACAGCAACAGTTTCCGATGCCGCTGCACCCATCGCTCAAAGACCTCCTCATCATCTGCAGCTTTTGCCAGAGGCAAGCACCGTAGAAATAGTCTGCATTGCGGGTACAGGAGCAATTCCTCACTGAGCTCGGAATCGAGCGCGGAACCTATCAAGTGGGACTTCTTGGGGTACCGAGAAGCGAGCTCGGAGAACTTCCGCTGGTCTTGCTCAGCTTGTGTAGTGGCCGGGGGGCCGTCTGTGTAGACGCTTAACGATCAAGTGATCGTGTCTTTCGCTTCAATAGCGGGATCCACCGAGCTAAAGCCGTACTCCACACGAGGGTCTATGACCACATGACCAGACCTTTGGGCAGCCTCCAACTGCTGCTCCAGTTCCTCGACGAGGCGATAAGTGATGATACCATTCCCCCCGTAAATCGAGAGGTTAGGGAGCGGGCACAGTGTCCGCTTGTTCAAGCAGGACTCAGGTCGCGCCAAAGGCAAACCTAATTTTTTCATCTTCACATGCTGTGAAAGGAGTATACGACTCGTTGTCGACCCCCTTTAACTCCTCGACGAAGAAATCAGTCGCAGGGGCGAACGCGGTGTGTGCCGCTCGATTGCCGAGGGCCTGAAATGTGCTTCCCGTGAAGCCGCGGACATAATTTCTGGAGATGCACCCCGTGCAGAAGAAGAAGGGCGTTGCCCGCGGGCGCCCTTAGAATCAGCTAGGCTTGTATTTTCTGTCTCATAGAGACAAGGCTCCATGAGCGGAGAGTGTTCAAAGATGTTTTGAAGATCGTTCTTCGGTGCCTCAGACACGCGAGCCTCGAAGGAGACGACAGTTAAATGTGAGTAGTTGACTCACCATTTTGATGGGGGATAGTGTAACGGGGCTCACGTACCCTTGTATGAAAGAGCGGGTAACACAAGATGTTGTGACCGTACAAAGGTATGGATTACATAATTTGGTGTAATCACAAAACGGTGTTGCTACACCGTAACAAGAAGCCAGAACGTGGCAGGATTGCCAGTAGTAATGCAAATAATTAGGTTTTACTATACATTTTAGATATTACTTTATTATATAGGTATTACTATATTAGTTAGGTCTTACTTTATTCATTAGGAAAACCTAACGTTTTATTTTTGGGGGCTCTGCCGCAACTTAAACAATTGAATACAGTCTCAATTTTGAATGGAAGAGCGTGTTTACCTTTGTTAAGGTCTTGAGTACTCTAGGAGGTAGCAGATTACGATCCGCTACACGCGAACTGTCTCTTGTAAAGAACGTAAGGTCGGTGGCCTTAACTTAAGTTTTTCTAAGCAAAGTGCTGCGGCATCCCTGCTACAGCAACTGCATAATTTATTTACTCGAAGAACATACGCTTATTTCAGCGTAATACAATAACACACCAGTCTCTGCAATAAATAGCTTGAGGCTGTTTAGCTACTTTATCCACTTTACTTCTTAGGTACATCGCTACGACTAGTGACCAATTAACCGTTAAACTTGATGCATTTGTGCTCTGCAATCTTCATATCAAGTTTATGGCGTATTGGTATCTGACGAACCGCTTTATCAAGCGAAGGGTTAAGCTACGCGAGCAAAACATATGCAGTCTTTTTTAAGCAGCTCAGTACTTGGTGTATCCCATGTGTCAAATCAGGTAGCACCAGATTTCTTATGTATTAGAAGCTGCTTACAGAGAAATAAATCGCATGCTATGGAACAGGCATCGCTACAAGATGCATGCGAGATTTGAGAAAAGAAAATTGCTGGACATCAGTCAGAGTGGACACGCTTTTCTGATAGGGCAGATGGATGCGTCGGACTCTTGCATACAAAATCGATGCTTTTTAAAGAACGTTTTGTCGATACTTAAGGTCTGCTCAATGTTTGGTGATGATTTTGTGATGTTATAAATGTGTTCGTGTCTTTGCTTCTGAAGTGGGCTATTTACAGCTCTTGAATAATTGAAGACTAATGATTTGGTTTGATAATTTGAATGAAATCAACTGCCTCACCGAGGAGACCACAGCACTATTTCACAAAGAAGATCGATCACCCTAAGAAAATAACAGTACTTAAGCTGGAGGGGGACCAAGCTTTTTTCAATCAGATCATCTTGTCCGCTTGAATACACAGCAAGAGAATGCCGGTCGACTGTAAGAAATTTCTACACAGTTTCGGACAAGACAGGGCGAAAACCTTTAGCGCTTTCGGCTGCAACGTTTTGGGGGCAAGATATTTGACGTTGTTTTCTATGAAAAGGGGAGAATGCTTATGAGCGAGAGCTTTCGAATTGACAGTAAGGCCACTGCAATTGCAATTGTTCGCACCGAATATGATATTCAAAAGAATGCGAGATCGGCTGCGGCGCTAGCAATCATGTTAAAGGAGGTAGCGGAGACGGTAATTGACCAAGGTACGCTCTCTTCTCTTTTCTTCTCTCTTCTTCTCTTTTCTTCTCTTTTCTTCTCTTTTCTTTTCTTTTCTTCTCTTCTCTTCTCTTCTCTTCTCTTCTCTTCTCTTCTCT